TAAGGCGTTTTAACAAGTTTTTTAGAACATTTTTATAATATAAAGTGTCGTATTAACTAATTTTATATGACACTATCTAAAAAAGTATTCAATAAACACAAATGTCTTGTAAAAAGATGGGTTATAAATTAGCTAATATGACACTTATTCTAAAAACGTCCAAATAAATTTGTTAAAATGCCTAAAACGTCTAAAAACGTCCTATAAATCTATTGTAACACTTTTAGATAAGATGTTTTATAGTTTCCTCCTATTATAAACCTATATTCTATTCTATTAGGACACGCTTAATTAGACAATCTAGGCGTTCTATAAAGCCAATTTTGTTGTAGTGGCTTTGGAACCATAAAATAACAAGATGAAAACACACATGGCAGGACTAAGGGATGACGGCGTTTTTCTGAACTCGTCCACGAAATCTTTTCTATGCTCCATCGATAGCTGCAGTGAATCGAAGAACGATGAGATGGTGTTGACTAATGTGGTTGTTTTGGCCCACGTGATTCGGTCGTTGGACCTTTCTTGCTCGAAGACGCTGGCTGCAGCCAAGTAGTATGAGACCAAAAGACTTGTGGTATTGCTCATCCCAAACCGTCCCATATCGAAATCAACATACCATCTGTTTATGTTATCATTTTTAATCACSTAAACGCTTATAAATCATTGGAATTATTGAAAGAAAGTTGGAAACTTACTGCTGCATAGTGTTCCATTCGAGCTGRTGSATGGCCASACAGTTGTTGTAATCCAAYTTASCCATTTCAAGATACKTGTWATTGCTAACATTCCCCATCCTGCAAGATCCAAATAGATTGAATATATATATATATATATATATATATATATATATTGAAGATGAATATGGTTCATTAATTATGATCGATACTTTATATTTGGAAACAATCAAAACTTCTATGAAATCACATATTAATCAAATGAAATGAACGGTTGAGATTGGATTGTATTGGTTGCACAAATGTCAATGGTTGTATAATAACCGATTATCATTATAGTAAGTAGTAACGATTTTCTACTTTTGCAATAATAGTGGTTCTATCACATATACAATGGATTAATATGGCTAGTATATATCGGCTTATTCCTTAACGTTAATTTTGAAATCCATCGTAGATTGACCCAAAATCGTCCCTTTATTAGATTTTCAAGACATTGCATCATGAGCTATGTTAAAAATATATAACCATCCCCTCGCGTATATATAAATCCGAATCCATTTGATTTCTAAAAAAGATTACTAATCCTTAACTTTTCGAGCAATCCTTCATCCGTGGTTGTAATTGCTGAGAGGGTATTCCAATCAGCATCGTCATATCCTTCAAGGATATATAGCGATATCTCTCACGTAATGTAAACCTAGGTTTATGGTCCATCCGACGTCGCTTATCGTTTATGGTTTATACTCGGTTTCTCCTCTACTATCACCATTATTCTTAGATAGCTCGACAGAAGGATCATATGGAGTACATGAAGTCCTATAATCATTCCTAAAGCGTTCGTCTTTTGGTTTTACTACTTTTTATTCCAAGTACAACGTCAACCATTCCTTGAGCGTTCATGTCAAAATTACTTCAATGAATGCTTTTAACATGACATTAATTGTATAAATATCGAGCGCCTCCACGCGACCTTCTTGTTGCAACGAACCATTTAATTTACCAAAAACCGAAATCATGTCTATATACCAATTTCTCAACAGTTCACGTCGTCATGTATAGTAGTAGTACCTGTATAAGGTTTTTCCGATCCAGACGTCGTCCTTGCCTCCATATTGGTCAAGGTAACATCTTGCCTCAAGTCGACGCAAGCTCGTATACCATGGCACGTCTAGCGCGTATCCCACCTGTTGATTTCTGATTCAAATTAATGCCATCAAAAGTTTTATATGAACGTCGATCTGTCGCAAAAGGTGACATTTGCGACGGATGGTTTTCGTACAAATGAAGTTATTCTTGTAGCAATATTTGCATACCTCACCAGGCAAATCCTTCGCGATGATCCATTTATCAAGAAGCTCGTTTTTCGATTGTTTCTCCTTCAAAAATAGTTATACGAAAACTTCTTGGCATTGTTGAGGATTTTCTCTCCTGGAAAGAGCACCTGCGATGCCCGAAATAAATTGAACATCCCCGTGACGGCTTGTGTTGTTTGCCCAGAAAAACACACAAACTTTGCATCTTTTTCGAATTGTTGAAACACATCTATCACAAAAAACACTCATTTAATCTTGAATTCGTCACTAAAATTGAACATCGTCAACATATTCAATTTTCAAGCATACGCTCATGAATACTGACCGGGAGAAATTTCGTAACCACAATTCGCAAAAGCCTAAATCCCATCGCAGTGTCGTCAATATCTTGTACATTCGAGTTTTTCGCCCAACAGATCCCGTCCTTAGTCCAATACCTGAGATTTCCACGAATCGTTAATTACCATTTCTAGCGTTTCTTGAGATGTAAAAACAATAGATTTGGTAAAACAAATTAAAGGGAGCGGTTTTTTTTATCAGATTTGCACACCTGTAGATATATTCAACACCACGCTCGATCTCTGGCTTGAAATAACGAGAAATCCCAAGGCGATGAAGGCCTTCAACGACCCAAATATGTTTGAAAAGATCCAGCGGGTAGACATTCGGGACTAGATCATGATCATGAACAAGAAGATGATAAAATTCCATAAGTAGAAACCATCTTTTTTGTAGAAAAACAAAAGTGATACAGAAACCACCATGAAAACACACCTCCACCATTGAATTTGGTAACTGCATTTGTGAGATATTGAAGAGACTTCTCATCTTTAGTTTGCATGAGTGCAAAAGCAGTGGATGATGGTGAGAAGAGGAGTGAACCATCTTTGCACTGAAGTTTTAGAAGTTTTTCCCACTCCAAATCTGGCATTCCTTCCAAGCTATGAAGTAATCTTTTGGGCACTTTCTGCATTATGTTCTTCGGTATCCTTTTCGTCACGAAGAAAACATCGTCATTAATTAGGATCGCTTCTTGTAACAAGTTTTTCGTTTCTAATCTTCCAGAAAAAGAAGAAAAAAAGGAACGGTGTTTAAACTATAGAGTACTGACTTTGTGAGCTTCAAGTTCCGTCTTGCATAGATTTCTTCCAAGAACGGCCAATCTTCTCCGATTTCGATGCCAAGCTTCCTTGCAATGTTGATGAGTGACGGAAAAGCTACTTCAAAACGGATCGTCATATGCTCTTCATTCTCGTCTTCAAGTTTGCTTATGTTCTCTCTCAGAAATTGCATTCCTGTACAGGCATTAAATTGAGCGGTGCCTTAGGGGGTGTTTTGGTGGCGTCGTCGCATGGGACCTCCGATCATCCGGGGCCTCCAACAATTGTTTTTGTAAGTAACGAAACTTCAATATAAAACTTTTAGTATTTTCTATTTTTGATTCACTTTTAATATATTAGGGTTTTTTAGGCCCATTTGATTCTATCATTTTGTATTAAGGTTTTGTAGGGATCATTTAATTTAACTTTAAGGGCGCGTTTGGTTTGTAAAATGGAATTCAATGGAATTGAAATTCATTAAATGAATTTGACTTTGAGGAAATGGAATGGAATTTGATGGAATTTGACCATGGCTTGTGATTACGTTTGGTTGCATGGAATTGGAATGAAATTTTTAACGGAATTGGAATTTTTTTTTTTTTTGGTTCACGGAATTCAACTTTGGAATCGGAAATTAAATATCAACAAATGTCATTTTATGATTTTTTGTCATTTTTTTAAATTAAAATTACCATTAAACCAAATTACATTATTAACATCAGATAAAATTTGAAATTGTTCACTTATATTACTAATATCTGAAATTTGGACGAGGGCTAAGGAATTCATAAGAAAGGAATTTGAAATCCTTGGTACATCAAGTGGAATTGTAAAATCGGTGACCGAATGAATTGGTAGGAATTGAAAGGATTCCTTCACTTATAATATGTGAACCAAACATCATATTTGGAATTTGGTCAAAGGATTAGACATTCCAATTCCTTTCAATTCCCCCAAATTCCCATGATCCAAACAGCCCCTAAGAGTTATCGAGTTGAATGAACATTTCCCTAATTCAAATTGGACTCCTAACCATTTTTCTAAGATCTCTATGGGATACGTAATCAAGTATGGATATGAAAAAAATTACTAGTTTTACATATCCATATTGCTTTATTGTATCTGGCTTCAATAATAAAGAAAATATGTTGGGTTGTGTGGGAGAAAGTGCTCAACTGCAAGGTGAAAGGAGGGCTGGGAATTGCCAGCCTAAAAAGCCCTTAATCTAGCTATGTTAGGGAAATGGTGGTGGCGTTTTCGAAAGGACACAGGCAATTTGGAAAGGGAACTGTGGTTAGTATGTATGGCAGCTCGAGGGGGATTTTGAAGGAACAAAAGCAAAGGTGGCATATGGAGCTCGATTACAGAATTGCAAACAGATGTGATGAAGATGGGGATGGACTTCGACAGCATGTTCATCTGGGACCCAATGAATTCACAATGGAAATGGAGTCTGGAGGGTGACGGGCAGTACTCGGTTGCCTCGCTACGCAAAGTGGTGGAATCCATAGCACTCCCAAATCTGCTGGAATAGTGGATTCGGAGCAAGGTGAATGTTCACATCTGGAGGGTGAGGCATGACAGATTGGCGACTAAAGATAACTTGCTTAAAAGGAACATTAACATCCGGTACTTTGCCTTCTCCCTTATACTGGATCAAGTCTAGATCTAAAATAGGGAGTGTTTTCTGTTGGGAAGTTTGATTGAATTCCCCTGTCACTTTAGTCATAACCTGTACCTTCTAGCACCTCGCTAGTTCTTGTTTGCAATATATTCATTCCTTTTGCTATCCAAAAAACCAAAAACAAAGTAGCTATCGGAGTTGGATGTAATATTTTATGAAGATTTTGATTTTGGATACTCCAGTTTAGAAAAGTTATATCATAGTCGTTGGAGATGCTCCGATAACTTTAGATTACATGCTCAAACAGTACTTTGGAGATATGAACGTTTATCGTCTCGGGATCGAAATAGGTCCTGTAATAGAAAGTTTTAGCCACAGTTAGGAACGTCTGCTTCAAATCTTGATCAAGATCATCAGGTGAGTTGCTGAATACGAGTTGCACTAGTTCTTGCATTATGTGCTCTCT